TATTATATATATATATATATATTNTGTGTGTGTAGTAATATATNTATATATATATATATATATATATATAATATATATACGGTATATATTATATATATTTATGTATATATATTATATATTATTATATACTACTATATATTCATATATATTCATATCTATTTTTATATATCTTCATATATTATCAATATATATATATATATATATATACATATATATATATATATGCGTGTGTGTGTGCGTGTATGCGTGTGTGTGTGTGTATGCATGTGCACACGTGTATGTGTGCGTGTGTGTGTACGTCTACATTTATGTTCATATTGCCCCGCATAATTCACCATACATACGTCCTTTTACATTTTGCCGGCACAATTCAATTTTCGTCTTATATCCTGAAGCATTACACCTGTTGTTTGGTTATATTGATTCTGTGGATTTTGTCATCCTCTGATTCATTGGGGTGGTGGACTATTCTTTCTCTGGCTCAGGACCCTGGCTAAATGTGAAGCCGCATAAACTAGGCCATGCTAAAATATCTTCTAGATTCTGTACCTGGCTCATACACAACCATGGTATCGACTCCAGTCTATGATCGTTCAGGCAGCAATTTTGACGCAGAAGCTGTAGCTTTCGGGCTATCTTAAGATAGACTATCGGTTTGTTGCTAATATCGCCATCGCGTTCATATTTCCCATTTAGATGCGAACTTTGCAAAACTAGTATTGCGAATGAGATTTTACTGCATCCCTGCAAGTGCATGGAGTGCGAAGAAGCGTATGTTCACCCCACTTGTCTCACGAGTATGCGAGATGTCGTCAAGTTGATGTGCTATAATCCATGCCCTTGTGCGGCCCAGAAATTGACGAAAAAGTCACATCGGCATCCACACTCGTCTACGCCTATAATGGGGAATAGGTATGTTCGATGAGGACCTACGGTCTTGCCTGCACCTTCTTACTGTGAACACCATGTCTAGACACGAGGAAGGCAGGATTTTGAACATATATTAGCAAAATATACCTCGAACGGGTAAAGGCATACGCAATGTATTTCGATATATATATATATATATATATATATATATATATGTATATGTATATGTATATGTATATGTATGTGTATGTATATTTTTATGTATATGTATTTGTATATGTATATGTATATGTATATGTATATGTATATGTATATGTATATGAATATATATATATATATATGTATATATATGTATATATGTATATGTATATGTATATGTATGTATCTATATATATATATATATGTGTGTGTGTATGTGTGTGTGCGTGTGTGTGTGCATGTATGTATGTATATCTGTATGTTCGTATGTATGTATGTATGTATGTATGAACGAATGTATGAATGTATGTATATGTATATGTATATATAAATGTATATGTATACGTATATATATCTATATATATATATATATATATACGTATCGCGCTCCAAACAATGCAAACATTACGCTCGATTGACTATACCAGTAGTAGTCGCATCGACCACCACCTGAACCATCGAGTCCATTGCTATGCTTAAAATCAGCGTATCTTCTCGCATTTCTACAGTCTTGATGCGGATTTAGCCGGCAAAAAAACCGCATGGCGGGCCCAAACCCAGCCGCTTGGGAATGTCAGGCCTACGTCACCCAAAGGAGATACTTCTGCCAACAGAAGTTTCGGAAGTGCATTGCATCCACAAGGTAGAGCGAGTTCAACATCGCCCCAGAGGAGCTTTACGAATACACAGGACGATGAACACGGCCCGCAAAGTCAAACAACGGACCACACGCCAAAGAGTCGTGCCAGAAGGCAAAAAAGTGGTAATACGAAGAGGATGCTGTCGTCTGGGGCGAGGTACCTGAAGCACGGTGTCTCCAGTACTGTGTCCGGGGTAACCTCTGCTGTTTCGGGTACGTTTGGGGCAAGCGAGAAAGAAATAGACAGGCAACGGGCCCAGATGCCCACAGATGCTGCAACGCACAATGCGTCCTTCACCAATCCAGCACTGGCATCGGAGGACGGCTCATATACAAGTACATCCAAGAACAATTCGTTCACTAATAGTTCCTACACAGGATCGACAAATATAATCAGCGGTGGGGGCAAAGATGAACCTTCGATAGCATCGAGCAAGGGAATGGCGTTTACTGTAAGCATGTACTCGGCCTATTCTCCGCTGCAAGCCGAACGCGCACGGCAGGCGCAAGAGGCAAACAAGGCCAACGCACTCGCACAATCATACACCCAGGCACAGTCCGACGTCCACCTACATGTGTCTCCGACAACTAGGCCTGCACGGGGGACCTCGCCCGAGAGAGCCGCGGAGAGCGAGGCGTCTCTAGCGTCACAGAGCTTTGATCATGAGATCAGCGGTTCAGGGAGAGGGGAGAGGGGGGTAAATACGGGCCCTCACGACCAGGGGGGGGCGAGAAAGCGCGCTGTCTCCGACATTCGCAAACGTAGTGCGGATTCAGGCAGTGGCACGGGTGGCACTGCCTCTTACACGGCCAAGGGCGAGGCAGCCAAGCCGAACAGAAGACACACACCGCAGTTTGGTAAAGCTACCAATACACCGCTGACAGTCACTCAGAGCGCCACCGTTCTCAGCTCGTACTCGACTTCTGATACAACCACGAATATAGCGCTGAACTCTAATGGAGACATGAGCCAGGACATAATGATCGGGAGCAGAGTGGTGGACAGGCAAAGTGGTGCGGATGGACTATACGTGGGTGCGAATGTTAATGATCGAAGCAGGTCCGTCTCGCCTCTGCACAAGGCGAGATTACTCACTGCACGGTCCACTGCACCTATGAGCTCTGTAGGCTACAGGATGACTCCCCCACGGGCTCACAAAACACCCCCCTTTGTTAGGAAAGCACCGCCAGGGCACCCGTACGAACGGCAACTCTCGCCCACGGTTTTTCAGATGGAGAGAACAAAGTCAAACCCTCTACACAACAGCTCTCTGAAACATCATGAATTGCGCCTGGATCCTGAGAGTGAGTCCTCTAATTTGGGTGCAGGTACCGATTTGGGGAATGACGTGGATTTTGCTTCACAGCAGACCTTGCACTTTGGACAGCGAAAAGTGGGTGCGCGACATAGGCGGAGCCTGTCGGCGCAATCAGATGTCTTTGCCAGACAGCTAGCAAAAGTCAACACCACAGGCAGCATAATGAGTACAATTGACTCTGATGGAGATTTGGGTACTGAAACGGGTGAGTCGCGTGATCACATAAGCGTGCGGGAAAATTCACATACCGGCAAGGACCCGGTTGTGAGGAGGCGGAGTGGGTCCAGGACGACCGGACTGACAAATATAGGGGAAACTACCATTAAAGAGTTTGCTCAGAAGCGGTCCGGCGTTCACAACCAAACAACAGGTAAGTATATGGATAAATGTGGGGTTCTCTTGTTTTGCCATGGTGGGTGTATCTATTACATACGCGTGTGAGTTATGCTGGTTATTGTTGCTTTTGGGGCCTGAGACCTATGGTGGATACATGTCAAGCAGATTGCAGATATGTGGACAGACAATTATGTGAGAAGCTGATAGTGGGTGATCATTGAATTAGGGATGGGCTGGGGAATTGTCTGCGCACGAGCTAGTTTTGTCGCAAATATAAGTCTTAATGAGATACCTGAAAGTTTTACCGGGTTCTCCCTGGTTACATTGTCTATGTTGGTACTGGTTGGATTTGAGTACACCTTTGATGATTGATCTGATCATAGATTACTATCGAGGCCACTAGTCATATGTGCCATATCCTACAGCTTGTTGCGTGAGAGTAAATATAACTAGCAATCAGTCGAGATATTGTTGTCAGCATTGATGCCTGCCGCCAAAGGGATGCGTTGACTTCCCATCATTATTTCTTACTTTACTTTCGAAATTTTAAATGAATATGAAGTTGTCGCAAAGAATGCGTAAATCACCATTTCTGACTGTTACTCTCTCCGAAATCGCAAATTAATTAGCAGGGCTCACGCGGCGGGCCATATCTATGAGCGATCTATCATATAACAACAACACGAGCATGACTGTACAGGTACGACATAACCAATGTATAAACACAACATGGAAGCTTATTCTTAAGATATTATCTGGCCATGCGCCTATGAGTTTATTCTTCAATTTTGGTTGTCTGTATACAAAGTTAAGACTGTCGTCAAATGGTCAACACGTCGCATATGACCAATGGGGAGCAGTCAATCGTGAGCAATGGACATATATGATCTCAGATCCCACGAACTGACCGTGTCGATAGAGTAATGTGCTTGTTTTGTAGTTGCTTTGGTTCCACCATCGAATAATCAGATATAGCTCCTTTAATCATTTTGCGAAATATGCCAAACCTGGTTCATTTACTGCTTTCACACAGCCGGCGATATGCAGGCAGCGGATATCCACCAATCAGCGCAAGCGATCTAGTCTGTCTGAGACGCAAACAAACCCATTCATGTTAGGAATGACCGGTAGGCAAAAATCGCCAATCAAATCTACAGTATTATTTGTTTCGATTATTTTAATCTCCGTCGCGCTGGCGATTGAGCGGGGAGAATATGCAGAATTTCGATATATAAGATTCACATATTGTTTCTTCCAAGGATCAAACGCTGCATTATATGACCCTGGTATGCATGCATATCCGCACCATTTGTACTATATCCAAATAAATCACTCAGTCTGATTTACTTCTCCGTTCCTCGCAGTTGAAGAATTGAATCTGAAGATTGATTTCTTGCAGAATGAATTAGGAGCGCAGAGCATGGTGCTCATTGAACTACAGCAGGTACGCGAATTGCATATTAATAACTGGGTATCGCACCTATGGTCTGGTATGTATCATAGCACGCGCATTTAAATCCCAAGTGTTTGTTTACTTGCCGATAGAGTTAATCAGTTTAGACACATCACCTTGGTGGGACTTTTGGTCTGGTGAGTATCATAGCACGCACATTTAAATCCCAAGTGTTTGTTTACTTGCCGACAGAGTTAATTAGTTTAGTCCCTTCATCTTTGTGGGACTTATGGTCTGGTGAGTATCATAGCACGCACATTTAAATCCCAAGTGTTTGTTTACTTGCCGACAGAGTTAATCAGTTTAGTCACATCACCTTGGTGGGACTTTTGGTCTGGTGAGTACCATAGCACGCACATTTAAATCCCAAGTGTTTGTTTACTTGCCGACAGAGTTAATCAGTTTAGACACATCACCTTGGTGG